CCGGTCTCCTTGAGCGTGCGCACCAGGATGCGCTTATCCTCGGGGCTCGACCGCGCAAGCACCTGCAACTTGGGTACCAGTTCCTTAAGCTCCTCTTCGCTCTTGCGCCGGAACACGGGACCTTCCATGGCGATTCCGCCGGTCTCGGGTGTATAGATACCGCACTCCTTGGCAATCGCACGGCCGGTCAGGATGTTGTCGCCGGTAACCATGCGCACGGTCACGCCAGCGCGCTTGCAGTCCTTGATGGCGTCAATGACAGTCGGGCGGAGCGGGTCCTTGATACCAAAGATGGCGACGAGCGTCATGTCCTTGTGCACCTTGTCGAATTCGGCGGCTGTGAGCTCCGACTGCCCGGCGAGCTCCGGAGGCGGCCACGACTCAAAGTCGCGGTACGAGGAACCGATGGTGCGGAGGGTCTGACCGGCGTACGATGTAATGGTCTGCGAGAAGACGGCACGGTCCTCCTCGGTCATAGGAGTCGTCGTCAACTCCTCGCTGGCGGGGTCGCCGATGATGGTGGTGCACTTGGACAGCAAAATTTCGGAGGCACCCTTGACGTAGGCGCGGAACTTGCCGTCGGGAAGCTTGACAACTGTGGCCATGTACTTGACGGCCGAGTCGAAGGGAACGACCTGGACGATGTTCGCGTTGGCGCGTTCCTCTTGGATGGGCCCGGCGCCGAGATGGTCGCGGCAGAGTGTGAGCAGGGCGACCTCCGTCTTGGAACCGATGAAAGTCTTTTCGCCCTCGACATCACCCTCAAAAGCTGTCGAGTTGACGGCGTTGGCCTGGACGAGGAGCTGCTTGATCGTGGTGGAAAGGCTCTTGACGAATTCGCCAATGGACACATTGGGGATGTTGATCTCGATCTTCTCGGCCTTGCCATCGTCGTCATCCAACGGCGCATCCGTGCCACCAAAGCTGAGGCTCTTGCCGAGTGTGGTAGCCACCACGGTCATCTTGTTCTGTGTCAAAGTCCCTGTCTTGTCTGAGCACACGGTATTCGCATTGCCCATCGTCTCGCACGCCTTGAGAACGCGCACCAAGTTGTTGTCCTTCATCATGCGGGTGGTCGCAAAGGCAAGAGCCAGGGTAACGGCCAGCGGCAGACCTTCTGGAACGGCAACCACAACCACCGTGACCGAGGTGATAAACAGCCGCAGGAAGGTCTGGCCCTTCTGGTCGGGGGTGTCGTGGTTGTTGGGCAGCTGAGCCAGGAACTTGATGAAGAGCACGACGAACAGCAGGAGTGCGGCACCACCGCCAAACTTGGCGATGTAGTCGGCCAAGACGTTGAGCTTCTTCTGCAGGGGCGTGTCCTCCTGGTCCGTGTGCATCGACATCATGATGCGGCCATAGCTGGAGTTGACGCCAACGGCAGTAACCAAAAACGTACCGGTGCCCTCGTTCACCTTGCTGCCCGAGATAATGAAGGGGTCAAGCTTCTCAATGTCGGCGGGCGGCTTGCCTCCCTTGGCCACCTCGTCAAGAATCGCAAACACCTCGTCGGCCGGAGCCTTCTTGAGGAGGTCCGACTCGCCTGTCGCCGAAGACTCGTCGCACTTGACACCGTGGCCCGTAATGAAGACGCCGTCGACCGGAACGACGTCGCCAGCAAACAGGTGCATGACGTCGCCGACCATGAGATCAAAAACCGAGATTTCAGCGGACTTGCCAGAACGGATGACCTTGACTGTGCGGTCGCCAGCCTTCTTGTTGAGCGTGTTGAACTGTCTCTGCATCTGCCAGTCGTTGAGCGTGCCCACGGCAACCACAATGATGATGGCCACCATGATGGCAACGCCCTCCACCCACTCGACCTTGGCGCCGCCATCCTCATGCGATACGCCAAACGTCTGGTACAGACCGAGGGCAAGCGACACGACAGCGGCGATGGTCAGCAGGATCAAAACCTTGTCGTTGTAGGTGATCCAGGCCAGCTCCAGCAGCGACTTGGCCTTCTTCTCTGGCAGTCTGTTGTCCTTGAAGATGCGCTGGCGGTCGGCGAACTGGCCGGTGCCGTGGTGGGCGGGCGGGGTGGTCGCGGGGGTCTCGCTATTGGCAATGGGGACTTTGTCTCCATTGGAGCCATACTTGGGAGTACCCTTGGGCGCCACGTCTTCAAAGTTTACGGTCCCGTCGAGCGTGGCTTCATCGGTACTGAGGCCGGCATTGCGATCTGTGCGCAGGCCCTTCTCGAGGCCTACCAGGCCGCCGAGGGCGTAGAAAGCGTCGAGGCTCTTGGGGTTGAGGAGCTTGGACAGCTGGCCGGGGGAGAAAGCGAACTTGTTGTCCTGGACATCGTACATGTCCTCGTTGGTCGGGTCGGGGCTCAGGGCGTCATGGACGTTGAGCTGGAAGCCCCTGGCTTTCTGCACGCTGCCGCCCGCAGGAGGTGTTGTTGCGGCGGGCGCATCGTCTGTTTTGCTTGTGGTTGCGGTGGCATCCTCGGGACTTGTTGTTGTAGTTCTTGTTGTCGCGGGCACATCATCTGGGCGCGCGGTGTCGGGTCCGGGTGTCGCTGAAATGGTGGAGCTCTCAGGCTGCGAAAGGTCAGGTTAACCGTTAGACATGGAAGGCTCCGGCAAATGCGCGGGTTGTGGTCGCGGTGTGGAGACGCGGGAGTCGGGAATAAGGCTCCCAAAACGACTCCCGAATGTCAACTGCATCCAGGAACGCACCTCGTTTTTGCGGGGATCTGCATCCGCCATGGATTCGGTGGTGGGAATATCGCCCAATTGATCAATGTACCAAAAGGGTATGGGAGTGCGCGAACTACACCGCGCTCTGGACCGCGGGGAAGCAGGCAAATAAGAGCGACCAGTTCAGGACGCGCGTGGCATTCGATGATGCAAGCGGTGGTAACAAGGTGTGGCGGAGTGGAAAAGGGGAAGAAAGAGGCCTCGAACGAGGCTTCCTCTTGCTGCGGCGAGACGCTGGGATAATGGGGATTCGCGTCAGGCAGGCTCGGCACACGTCGTCGAGAGTGCAAGTGCGCATTTCCAAAACAAGGCCAGAGCAAAAAACGCCCTCCTTGACCCGACAGCGAAATGACGATCTGGGCATTGGACGAGCCAAGCTCTCAGAACGCCCATCGCTCTTGGCGGTACTTTCATTGTGCCTTTGCACAGTGCCGATGTCACATGGACCGCCAATCCGACACCTGAGCCACAGGCATGCGCAGGCTCACCTCATCCCCACAAAGCCCAATCCCGCACCTCTGCAGCACTGTGCTGCCAGGTACCAAGTACCCGCTTGTCCCGCGACCAAGCAACGTTCAAGCATCTCAAGCATTTTCTCGGCGAGTCTGGGCCAGCGCAACAGCTTGGCGTTGCGCTGTCCTTGAAAGTCCACCACTCGGCGCGTGCCCAGAACGGAGCAGGTCATCGGAGCATCAAAGAAACAGGAAGAGGCGGTCAGACTTGCGCGCTGCGCTGTGCGACATGCCTCACCGCAAACCTCATGTGCTTATATTTAGCTGTCCTCGCAACTGCTCTGGCGCGCAACACCTCAAAGAACCTAACCATTGGCGCCCAACGCCGGCTTCTGTCTGACGTTCGATTTTTGACCCCTGGAATGGAAAGGCGGGTTGAGAAAGGCACAGCAGCGCGAAACGAGATCCCAAGAGCGGCGGTGAGCATCACACAGCACACAGTGGTAAGGTATTCCGTCCCCCGTGTCTGAGCCGCCTGTGTGCGCCTCGGGCGCGGCTATTGCTTAAAACAAAGGAAACCAACACGCCTGACAAGAAAGGCACTGCATCGAGGATGCCCCGATGCGCCCTGCATGACCCGATCCGGCGGCCAACAGGCGCATTGAAACAACGCCCAGGGGAAGTGTTTGGGAGAAACAATCTTAGATCAAAGGGGACAAAGTTGGAGGCCTGCGTGGGGCAGGGGTGCCCCAGCGTGGCCCCCGATTGTTCCTGGCGAGCTTTGGCCAATCAGCGCATTGCTCGCAACCACAACGCGGCGAGTGATCTGCCATCGGCAGCCGCCGAGTTGGATCGACGTGTGGCTGCACGATTCCACATGGACAAAGCATCTCCGCCGTGTTGGTACCATTTCCAACCAACCCACCACTGCGTACTCTATCTTCATTCCGGATCTCTGGCAACACAAGCGCTGCGCCCGCCGTTGCGCAAACAATTTGCGACTGAAATGTGGGCTTCAGCGCTTGGATGGCGACGGGTGACGCGCGGCAAGTGGCAGGTCGCACAGGTGACGACGCGATTGGACCCGGCCTGCTGGGAGGTCCTGGTCGGTTGCTTAGGGCGATGCGGCCGATGCCTTTGTGAGATGACCGGAAATTCCACAGCCGGAGGGCATTGCCAGGCGGCAACACACAAATCCCGGGCGGCCGTGGCTGACTCCGTCTGGTTTACCCGCCGTGTCTGTGGCTTGTGATGATCGGGTGAGGTTACCGAGGTTAGATCCGGTCAGAGTGCCTTGCTGGGCTGCCTCGTCGGTTCTTAACTTCTTGTTGGCTCTTGATCGCCAAGCCGGGTGTTTAGGCCCCACACGAGGTAAATTGGACCTCAATGCAAGGCATGCTCCTTCTAGGAGCCTGAAGACCAGCTGAGGCAGATGAGATAGGCTGATTGACTGACTTACCTGAGTGTTCTTTTGCAAGAAGGGAACGGCAAGTTAGTTTGCTGGGCTCTTGGGTTGCGAGACATTGGGCCCCAACCCCATCTTTGACTTGTCGCAGAAGGCCTGAGGTGATGGTTGAGCAAGACTTCAACAGACAGACAAGTGTGTTGTTTTGGGCTCAGGACGTTGATTTTTCGAGTGTTACGCTTTATCTGCCAGCTTTGCTCCTAATATGATGGTGGTTTTGGGCATAGGTGTGACTGAGAAATGTGACATTGGACCTGAGTGCCGAAACTGCGCTTTGAGGATCGGCGGCAGCAGGGTGGCAGGCGAGACCGAGGGTGAGTAGAGTTTGTGCGGTGGTATATAAGTCAATTTTGGGCCTTAGTTTACCACAGAGAAAATGTGCGTGTGGTGTAATTGGTAACACCTTTGCAAGCAGCACGGGGTTTTTAAATCATCTGACGTTATACACTGCGAGTGAGTCTGATGGCCCATCCTCTTGCAAGTGATCCCAGTTCGATTCTGGGCGCGGGCATCTTCTCTGTCTCTTTTTTTTCCTTCTCCATCTTAGATCTCACTGTTATCTTCCCTGTCTCTTTGTTTCCTTCTCCTTCATAGATCTCACTGTCTCCCGCTCGGAGGTTGCTTCGGTTCTCTTCCCATGGCAGTGTCTTGTCTGGACTCTCGGCTTCGAGTTCCTAGGACATGGAATCTGCGTGCTTCACTTTCGGAAAGGAAAATGCGGCCTCCAAATGCCAAGTTAACTGAGGCAATGATGACTGAGAACCAAAGTTGCCTGTGATGTCCACCAACTCTCGCCAGTAGAGGTGGGCACAGTTCTCTGAGATTTATCTCCCTCAGGTGGGATCAGATTCTTCACTTCTATTTTCGGATTTGACTCCATGATATCTTATCTAATCTCACGCGAGCCCTCGGTCAGTCGGTCTGTTTCCTCTTCCTTCCACTGCCTGCTGGGCACCAACGCGCACCACAAATCTTTCCCAAGACATCATCCCTTCCAACTTCCTTCTTGCCGCAAATTTGCCAACACTTCTACCCTCTTTAGCTCTGCTTCTTTTGCTCGTCTAATCAAAATCAAGATATCCAGAAGAAATTTCGGCGAGTGAGATCGATCCGTCCGTTCCAAAAATCGTTCCGGACACCCGTTGCCCTCGGCCTTCTTCTTCTTTAATCACGTCAGAACAAGTCTTTGACAAATTTTCCTTCGGTTGGATTTAAATCCTACCGAGGTCACCCCGACGCGATACTTTCGCCCTCGCCGCTATTGTGAACGCTGTTGTGGGTAAGATAAAATCCAACTCTACTTTCCTCTCTCCCATCAGCGACCCTCTCGCACACAAAAAGATGTTTTTATTTTGTGTTTGTTTTTTTGCTTGTTTTTTTGCTATTAAAATTCATTTTGTCCTTTATCTTACAGTGTTAGGCTTTCTTCTCCTTTCCAGGGCAACACCTGCTTGGACAAGCAACCTGCTTGATAACCTCCACTGGTGTTGCCATGAGCTCAACCTCGAGATTCAGATTTTCCGGGGCTGTTTTCTCCAAGCCCAGCAACCACCAAGACGTGGAGGCGGCCAAAAGATTTGCACGACGTGCGGCAAAGCACAAGTCAACCTGGAACGACCTTCAGCTCAATATTTTCTCCGATGCGTCTCGTCACTGTGGAAGGAACACCGGAGGATATGCTGTGACCTTCAAGCCCTGTAAGTTTACCCCACAGTTTGGTTTTCAGTGCTTGGGACGACAGGGCAATTTACCATGTTCCTTTTGAAGTCACTTCGAACGGAACTCTGTGGCTGAAACTGTCTATAGGGTTACCATGGGAAGCAGCGGACAATACCCCGGTGGAGGCAGCATGGCCCTTTGAACCCTTATACGACGCAAACCTGGGCGAGCTAATTGCGATTGCTAAGAGCCTCGCATTGGCCATCGAACAAATCCGAGACCACCGAGTGGCCCTTCTGGAAAGCGGACAAACGGTCACAGTGACCGTTTTCAATGACGGAAAAACTGGGTTGGGGATACTCGATGGCTTCACGCCGAACGAGGCTCTTTGGAAGTTGGTGCGACCTGTTGTTCATTTGATTGAGAAGCAGGGTCAAGCTCTCAGCACCCTTGGCCCGCCCGTCCGCTTGTCCTTCCGCTGGATCCCAGGCCACAACCACGACATCAGGCCGCATATCCATGCCGACCGCCTGGCTCGGACTGCACAGGAAGTCCAAAAGTCCTACTGCCCTCGATACGGCAATATCTGGAAAACACATATGGAGTCTCCCACCGCGAGATGGCTGAAGCGAAGCCTCCTCCAGTCGTCCCTTCATGCGGCAGCCATCTGGCCAAAGCTGCGGCAGCGCTTGCGGCACTCCCTCCCGCTGGCAGCAGGAGTGAGGTGCCCCAATGCGCTTCAGGTGTACTTGGACGGTGTTTTGCCTGCCTTAGGCAGGAAGAAAATGCCAGTGCAATGGTCAGACTCGTGGAGCGCCCGCCTTGAGACGGAAGACGGGAAGGGGGACATCGAGTTGTCGGTTCCATTGACGCGGTCGAACCACCGAGTTTTCGTCAATGACGGCATCAACCACTTTGCAGTGGTGCTTGATAACCCGACACCCCCTGTCCCAACGACAGATTTGGTGCTGTATTCCAAAGTCGCACTGCCGGAGCATTGAGGAACCCGAGATGTGGGGATGGTGGGATGTCAACTGGGACACATTGGTATGGAAATAATATCAGATGGGATGGGGCCTGGGGATTAAAGTAACTCTTGTCAGTATAAATCTGTCTTGAACATGTCGTCTGTTGTTTCTTCCCCAACTCCGGCATTGTGCGTGCCGTGTCCCGGCAAAGTGGGGCCGAACCGTCCGGCTGGCTCGGAGGTGTGGGTGCATGTGCATGTGGGGCACTTCCCAAACTACGTCATCCATTCCGTGACGTTTCGAAGCCTGCAAGTTGCAGGCAGGCCCGACACGGAACGCTGCCCAGGTCTGCGGCAGAAACGGGAAAGGGTGCTCAGATCTCAAACTTTGACTCTTCATCGGACGAGCTTAGCGCGCCATACGATACAACTTTGCGGCTAAGAAACATCGTGCAGTTCAGGTCGGTTCTTGACCACACGTCTCAATAACAACAACCACACAATCAATCAACTACGCAGTGCCTTCCCAAGATGCCCGGTCAGCAAATTCCCGAGCCCAACCCGGCACCTCTCCCATCCCACCTCCCGGACAGTGTTTTGGAGTTGGCGGTGCAGCTCCAAGAGAAACCCCTTCCGGAAGATGTCCGCAAGTCGCTTCACGGGTTCCAGCGAGCAGCAGAATACATTGCTGCCGGTAAGTTTCAAGCACCTTGACCTCATCTCTCTGGACACCAGTCGCTAATGTAACCAGCAATGATTTTTCTGGCCGACAATGTCCAGCTTGAGTCTGACCTGAAGCCCGAGCACATCAAGCCACGACTCCTAGGTTCGTTCACTCTTAGCACCCAGACCGACCAACCATTCGATTCTGACTCCCAACAGGTCACTGGGGAACATGCCCTGGCCTCATCCTTGTGTGGTCACACCTCAATCTGCTCATCCGCAACCATGATCTCGATATGATCTACGTGATTGGTCCGGGCCACGGTGCGCCCGCTGCTCTGGCCTCCCTCTGGCTGGAGGGCTCGCTTGAGAAGTTTTACCCTGGCGAGTATGACCGCAACGCGGAGGGGTTAAAGAACTTGATCACCAGGTTTTCGGTGCCTGGTGGATTTCCAAGGTTCGTTTCAATGGGAGTTTACACTCATGGATCTGGCTGACGCAAACAGCCACATCAACGCCGAGACTCCTGGGTCGATTCACGAGGGTGGTGAGCTGGGGTATGCATTGGCCGTGTCATTCGGCGCTGTCATGGACAACCCGGATCTGATCGTCACCTGCATTGTTGGAGATGGCGAGGCCGAGACAGGGCCTACCGCAACGTGAGTTTGTTGTTGCCTCTGGCCGGCATCAGTCTGCTGACATGACATAGGGCATGGCACGCCATTAAATATCTGGACCCGGCAGAATCCGGTGCAGTCATCCCCATCTTGCATGCCAACGGGTTCAAGATCAGTGAGAGAACCATCTTCGGCTGCATGGACGATAAGGAGATCACCTGTCTCTTCAGCGGTTACGGCTATCAAGTTCGCATTGTGGAGGACTTGAAGAACATTGACGACCAGCTACAGAACGCATTAGAGTGGGCGTTGTCCGAGATCAAGCGGATCCAGAAGGCGGCGCGGTCTGGGAAGCCTATTGAGAAGCCAAGATGGCCCATGCTGGTGTTGCGGACACCGAAGGTGAACACCCAACTCCCCCCAATTTGCCTCACAATATTTGCTGACACGTAATAGGGCTGGACTGGTCCAAAGGAAGTCGAGGGCAAGATCATTGAAGGCTCGTTCCACTCCCATCAGGTCCCTTTGCCCAAGGCTGGGAGCGACGAAACGGAGCTCAAGGCCCTACAAGACTGGCTTGGGAGCTACAAGATCGGCGAACTTCTCAAAGATGGCAAGCCCACCGAAGAAGTTCTGAACATTCTCCCCGGCAAGGACGAAAAGAAGCTCGGCCAACTCAAAATCACATACGAACCGCACATCGGGCTCAAGGCGGTTGACTGGAAGCAATGTGGCGTCGACAAGGGCGGTGATGAGAGCTGCATGAAGGTCACCGGGGCCTTTCTTGATCAGGTCTTCCAAGAGAACCCCAAGTCCATCCGTCTCTTCTCCCCCGACGAACTCGAGAGCAACAAACTCGACGCGGTGCTCAAGCACACCCAACGCAACTTCCAGTGGGACCAGTACTCGCGCGCCAACGGCGGACGCGTGATCGAGGTGTTGTCGGAACACAACTGCCAGGGTTTTATGCAAGGGTACACACTGACTGGCCGCACCGCCATCTTCCCCAGCTACGAGTCGTTTCTGGGCATTGTGCACACCATGATGGTGCAATACTCCAAGTTTGTCAAGATCGCCCGCGAGGTGTCGTGGCGTGGCGACCTGCCGTCCATCAACTACATCGAGACCAGCACGTGGGCCCGGCAAGAGCACAACGGCTTCTCCCACCAGAACCCCTCCTTCATTGGCGCCGTGCTTAACTGCAAACCCGAGGCTGCCAGAGTACGTGGTCTTTTCCAGCCCCACCATACCCCTGCAGAGCAGAGAGCCTCACTAACTCACCCACCTAGGTCTACCTCCCGCCGGACGCAAACTGCCTCCTCTCGACAGTCCACCACTGCCTCAAATCGCGCAACAAGACTAACCTCATCATCGGCTCCAAGCAGCCCACCGCCGTCTACCTCTCCCCCGACGAAGCCGCCGAGCACTGCCGCCTGGGCGCCTCCGTCTGGCCCTTCGCCTCCAACACGCCCGCCGACCAGTCCCCCGACGTCGTCCTCGTCGGCATCGGCGTCGAGGTCACCTTCGAGGTGGTCAAGGCCGCGCAGCTGCTGCGCACGCTCTGTCCGGCCCTGCGCGTGCGCGTCGTCAACGTCACTGATCTGA